ATGGTTCAGAACAGATTAACTGTATTTACATTGAACCTTATGGGAAAATTTGATTCAGGTCGTGACTAATTCGGGTCGTGACCAGAGTCGCGGAATGAATTAAGTTCATGACCCAAGGTACCACTGTATTTATAAAAAATAATAAAGACAGTATAATTTTTTTTTTTCAAAAAAAGCAGTTTGTGTCATATGCTTCAACTCCCTGAATAAGACTGATAAATTTCTAATTCTACAGAATTTTAATGAGGAGACATAACTGAGAAATTAAAAAGCATATTCAATATATGACATATAAATATCATATTAAAATATGAACATGATTCTGAATTTTATATAGATAGCATTTCAGATATTAAATAGAAATAAACTTTAAAATAGATTATATAATTAACTCAATGCTTGACAATTATGTACACTAATAGTTAACCTTGGGACTAAGATCAAGGAGATTTTCTGAATTCAATCTATGGATTTCCTAATATATAGCACCAGGAATCTCACCTCAATTATGAACTCACTGGATAGCCTTAGGCAAACTACTCATCCCTCAGACTCTCATGGTCTGTCTTTCCACCGATTGTAAGTGTTACTGAAAGAATTAATTTGATATAATGATGGATAAAATAGTTTTTATTCTGTTCATGACCCATTTCTGTTTTATTTTAAGATAGATATTCCCATCAGCTTGCTCAAATTTTAGAAATGCATTGTAAACTTATATGTTTATATGATCTTTTCAAGGGTTCCTTTTCATGTTTAAATTCCCATTTTTTTACAGATTCTAGCATCACAGAATAGTTAGAAAGGATGCCTTCTGCTATGCGGAATAATCATGAGTCCAAAATGTCCCAGATTTCAGCAAAAATATACATCTTTTCTAGAAAACCATATGAGGAAAAAATCATATCTGATGCTAACAAGGAACTCATCTTTTTAAATATATAATTATCCAGGAAGAGAGGATGCATTGAGATGCACTGGTTTTTCCTTAAGCAATCTCAGGGGTGTTTTAGATGCAGGTGATGGTGCTACACTTTGTAAGTACTCCGAATAGCTAGACCATGTAAAAAAATAAAATAACTGCGACATTCAGACCATTAACAGTAAGCTCCCTAATCATGTGACAGAAAAGTTAATAAATCTGCAGACTAATCCATATATCTATTTCCAAAGTGAGTGCTAGGGAGTGCAAACTGATGAAGTTCACAACAAAATACATAATGTACAAACTCTTCCACTTTCTCCAATTCAGTGTGCTTTAAATTCACAAAAAAAGTATGGATTATATAAATATACCATATTTACTTACAGGTAAACTAGTAACATAGCTCCCATCACCATAACAAAGCGACTGAAGGATGAATAGAAATATACAATACTAAGGAGAATAGCTGCTCTGGAGAATGTGTACATCCAGTCCAGCCAATCTCTATTGAAGTCCTCTTCATTCATGACTGGACCTCCTTGAGCATTCATCTGCACATTCTGGTTTACAGGCCTGTTCTCCTGTGGAGCTACATTTGGAGCTGCTGGGGCCTCATTCACAGGATCATTCTCAGAACTTGTGGGTTGTGGAGTTGGAGGACTGGTAGAGTCAGGATTGAGGGTTGCCTGGGCTGAAACTGCAGCTTGACTGTAACAGAAATAATTAATGGCTTCTCAAAAGCAAGGCATATTAGTTAGCTAACTATATTATACAACAAAACAATTTCATCATGGCACTTGAATTAGCTGCTGTGAGAAGGGCAGCCCTCTCCCTTTAAAGAATTAAGGAAGAGAAGAAAGCACTCTCCCTCGCTGGTAGCTGAAACAGGCATTTTGAAAATAAGAGTCAGCCTGAAGCACAGAAATTATGTATAGGTAGTCCTCAACTTACGACGGAAATTGGGAGCAGCATTTCCATCGCTAAGCAATTGGTTGTGCTTGGGTCTTGACCCTCGCCACACAGGGGTGTGGCAAGGGTCAGAGGGGATGTGCAGGGATGCAAGGGAGGCGTGGCGAGGGTTGGAGAGGGTGCAAGGGAGGCGGTGAGGCTTGGAGAAGGTGCACGAGGGTGCAAGAGAGGCACAGCACAGCTTGGGAGGGTGCGCGAGAGTGCCCAAGGGAAATGTGGCAAGGATTGAGGATGGTGCTCAAGTGGTGGGGGGGTGCAGCAAGGGTCAGAAAGGGTGCATGGGGGTGTGAGGGAGGTGCAGTGAGGGTCAGGGACGGTGCATGAGGGTGCATGGAAGCTATGGCAAGGTTCAGGGAGGGTGCATGGGAGTGTCCAAGGGACTACTGTGGCACAAGCACAGAGGGGCTGAGGAAGAATGCACAGGTGGGGGAGACTTACTTCAGTGACTTGTGACCTTCCCTGCCAGCTTCCCCACTGACTTCACGGGGAAGTCCTCAGAGAAGGTTGCAAATGGTGATCACGTGATCGCAGGGCCCTACAACCAGTTGTAAGTGCAAGCTGGTTGGCAACTGCCCAGATCGCACTCATGTGACAGCAGGGGTGCTGGGACAGCTGAAACTCCAAGGACCAGTCTTAACCACCATTCATTCAGCACCATTGTAACTTCAAATGGTCACTGAATGAATAGTTGTAAGTCGAGGACTACCAGAAGTGCTTCTTTAAGCCTGGCCCCTGTTTTTTTCCTCTCTCATATGAAACTGCTCTTCAGGGGGTCTCAGGTTTATAAAAGGATTTGTACTGTACATAAGTTTTCTCTCTTCTGTGTTTCTCTGCTTTCAAAAAATAAGCTTGCTTTTACAGGTACCATCTACTCTAAATGAATTATCAGAAAATTCTGTGGCCTGATTTTCATCCTATACTTGTTCACCATGACATGTATCTTCATCTTTTTGTAGTGCATTTGAGGGAAGAAAAATGTTCTTTATGTGGCAAGAAGATTAGTGAAGAGGGAATGGTTGCATAAAAAAATTCCTCAGAGGGTTTGGGGTTATTAGTAATTAGTTAGTACTACATACCTCCCAAATCAAGGGAATATGCTTATTTTTTTCTTCAATCATCAACTGAATTATTGTGAATAAGATTAATCATGCCACATATATGATAAATTTCATAGCATTTATAGTAGATTGATTTCCCCTTTGACACAGCTGTCCTGCTAAGATAGATTCTTACATAAAAAGAAACTGAAAATATAGAATTGTTTCTTGACATAGGGGTTTTCCATTTTTCCAATAAAATTTATCCCAAAATGCAGTCTAGGCGATGGAAATGTTCATTTTGTAATTACTTTTCTCCAAAACAAAGCACTTGTCTGAGTCAGCCACCAAAACAAAAACTATCCTTAAATAAGCAATTTTTATAACTCCACAATTCTAGTACATGTTTTAACAAATCTATATTTTTATTTCAGAATTGGTTTGTTAAAACTAAGCTACAAAAAAATCAATCTAGACTTTGCCTTAGTTACCAATCTTCCATCTTAGTACTAATTAAAATCATGCTATATTTATACTTACTATTGCATATAATACTGACGTGCATACATTTGTTGCCACCATAACATCTGCAGAGGGCTGAAAGTAGGATAGATTGGAAAACCAGCTGACATTCCTTGCCCAGGAAACTGATTATCTAAGTTGCTACAAAAAAATTAAAGCTAATTATATCCCATTATTTTATGTAGCAGAGGTACATATAGTTAAAATAGTGCCATCAAATCTGAGCTGCAGAAATTCAGAAGATCACTAAAGAGTTAGCATTTCTGTATCTCTTTGCTTCCCTCTAGTACTAGTTTGGATTTTTGCAGCCCATATCTAGTAGCCATGAAGCTAAAATATTTATTTCAAAAAAATGTATATGGCCCTATCACAGAATCTAGGCAGTTCATAACTGATAAAACATACAACAAAAATGGAACAATAACTGATTCAGCATTTTTTGCCCAAAAAGTAAATATAAACAACAACCTTATTTTAGGATACTTCTTACATAGAAAAGCATTAAAAAGAACAAAGTATTACATATTATGATGATGATATTATTTCATCATCCCCCATAGTTTACTGTTTACAAATTTAATTCCCAGTGTTTGGCAAACATGTAGAAGTGAAAGACTGCAATGAGTTCAAAAGAACTTTCTATAGAAAAGTCAATATGGATTCTGGAGGATAAAATGTTGGCACATTCACTAATTGCTACACTCCCTTCAAACCAAAAGTTTCAACTGTCACTTTAAGAAGTGATGGCTAAGCCTGCTTTTTCCTTCTCTCCTCCACCTTTTTCCACAAGTGTCATGTTTTTTAAGTGGAAAGCTAGGAGGCAGAGACTGCCCCCTTGCTGATATTTGTAAGCTACTCTGGGAACCTTTAGGTTAAAGAGCAAAGTAAAATGGCTATAGCATAAACAAGCCAGAAACAGTTTTTTTTATCATGGTAATACTCAATCTGAAGTCCCATTTATAGTAGCAGTATATGGTAGCACTATTTACAGCAGTAGTAAATGGAAGTACTATTTACACCAAACAATCTGTAGAACAGGTTAGATCAGTGTTTCTCAACCTTGCCAACTTTAAGATGCGTGGACTTCAACTCCCAGAACTCCCCAGCCAGCTGTTATGCTTAAAGTAAAATAAAACAGCTTAACAGAATACCTTAGCACAAATTGTGTTCCATTACATTAAAAATGTAGCAAGTCTTGTAGTTATAATGGTTTACCTCTCAAATTGGATTTAGTTAGCAAGGGCAAATGCCAAAATATAACAATTGTTGTCACCACTGTTATTTAGTTTATATTTATTTATTACTTCAATTTATATAGCCTGTTGTTCTGCCCAGAAATGGCAAACATATAAATCTAACAACTCACATGTATCTAAAATCCTTACAATGAAAATGCTATACATTCTTTTTAAAGGCAACAACAGAATTCACTGTAATACAAGTTGATGCAACCATATTGCATCAGATCACAATTCTACCTTAGAAGAAAATTGGTTGCAAGGTGTCACAGGAGACCTTGCTAATTCTCTATGTACCCAGACTGAAGAGATATAAAAATGGTAGTAATGGGAAGAGAGAACCAGTAGTAATTCTGTTATTCAAAAACCGTTGGGGGAAAAAAAACATTCCCCCTAAAAATCTATTTGGTCTCTTTATATCACATATTCTTCTACATTAAAGATCTTTCTAATGCAAGGAAAACATTGAAATTGTAACTATTTATTATTAGTGCCAAAAGACTAGATAACTGCACCTCATTTTTTAATATACTTAAGGGGCCTTTAACAATCAAATTTTCTTGTGGTCTTCATAATTCTTGAAGGGTAAGTTCTAATTAGTTACCTTCTGGTTTGCAGTTTGAATTTTTCTATTCCATAAGGGATATTTACATCTACATCTATATCTTCTGGGCCACAGAGATTTTTCTCTGTTTAAAGACACACAGAAAAATTAAGGACTTCCATTTGGTATTCTCTGTACACACTGAAGGCTAAATACACAGAGCTTTCCAGGAAAATATATACTTAGTAGTTAATAGAAGACTGATTTTCTGTAAGATGACTGGCAGAGACAAAAAAATCATTTTCCCTAAAATAATTACATATTGTGCCTCTTGTTTACAATATCATCTGAAATGAATGAAAGAAAAATAAATTGTGAGTTTGTAAAACTAAAAATGAAGAATGGAATAGATTGGAATAAAAATTGTCTGGTCTTGTCGAGTGCAGTAAAAGAATATGTGCAGAGAAGTGATGGTGTAGGCTTAGTTATGAAATGCCTAAAATGTATTTTAGAGAGTATAAATTGCTGTTCTCTAGGTCATTGTGGATATGTGTGAAAGTAAGAATCCCTAGGTTGGTGACAGCTGTATGTTACTCTCTAGTGAATCATAATAATAATTAAAAAACAGAAATGAGAAAAACTGCAACATTCTAAATTAAAGCAATGAAGCTACTAGGTGGCATAAATGGATTGGTGGGGACAAGAAAAGAAATTACAGAAAAAGCAATTGGGCTATTCAGATACCAAGAATGGTTCAGAATGGTGATTGTTGAATATCTGCTTAGAAAAACTTTCTTAGTTTTTAATATATGGCTAAAGTATAAGTCTGTTCATACGTACATAAGGCAAAGGAATGAATATAAATCTAAAACCAGATATATTTATCTCCGAAGAGAATAATTGAAAAGTAGATGTAAGGAAAGAGGATATAAGGGCTATTTAGAACAAAGAGAAATGAATTAAGTTACAGTATATCACAGAACTGTGCAGACTTATGCTAATGGGAATTATGAAAAAAGTTTTTTTGGTGGAATAATGAAGTGAAAGAGAATATGAAGATATTAAAAATGAATGCGGGAAAAGATAAGGATGAGAGGAAGATACAGTATAAAGTGTACAGAGAGAAAAATAGTTGCAAAGAATGTAATCAACGATTACAAGCAACTTTAAGATTCAAAGAGGCAGAAAAAATGCAGAGCAATTAAAATATAAAACTGCATTGGAAGTGAGTGTAGAGGAGTAACCAAAGAGCTTCCAACAGGGTGAAAGGAATAAAAAATGATGAAAATATTTGCAAATAACTAATATGAGGGAATACTGGAAGAAATATTTTAGATATTTGTATAGGAATGAGTGATTATGTTGAAGAATGGAATTGAAACTAATGCTACAACTACTGGAATCTTTAAAAAAAATTATGAAAAGGAAGCCATAAATACCATGAGAAAGTTGAAAAATAGCAAGGCTGCAAGTTTAGATGGTACAAGTGAACAAATGTTAAAATATTAATGTGTTCATTTGTTTAAGGAGTGGCAATGCAATTCATGTAATGTGTTAAATAAGACTGCATCTGTTCCTTATTACTGGAAGAATACCATTATTGTTGGTATCAAGTGTGAGTGCAAAACCTACAAGGTGATTACTTTGTTAAGTGAGCCTGAGAAGGAATCTGGCAGAATTCTGACTGACACAGTACAAAATGTGATAATGAGCAAAATTTGGGAAAGTCAGTGTAGCTTTATGCAAGTCATGGGATGTGCCGACCAAATTTTTCAGATCATTGATAAATGCATAACATTGAGAAAGCAAGCATACTGTACATTTACTGATTTAGAGAAAGCATATGATAGTATGAATAAGCTTGAATTATGAAGGTTGTTTCTTTAATGTGAAAAAGAATACATGATAGAACTAAAGCATATGTGAGAATAAATGTAATAATTGGGGAATGGTCAACACAAAGCAGAGAGAGATAAGATAGAATGTCTTAATGTTTAATGTATTTGTGAACAATTGTATATGGAATCCTTGTGCTGACATTAAAGGCATATTGGTTGGAGATATGAATGTACATGTATTTTTGTATGTTTTTTATGTATTAGCTGAAAACCTGAATGATTTGCAGTGAATATCAAATAGATTGCATGATGCAATGAAGATCTGAAAATTAATAAATCAAAGATCAAGATCATTGTGTGTGCAACAAGAAAAGTGAAGTGAACAATAGCAAGTTACTCATTCTGGGAGAAAGTTAATGGTTTGTATGTGGTCAGTTATGAGAGGCAAAATGTATGTAAGACCATGCTTCTTCCCACGTTGTTACATGGAAGTGAAAGTTGGGTATGTCAGGAGAAACACAGAATTTGAATGCAGTGGAAATGGAAGTGTGTATGATAGAACAAGGGATAGGATATAGAATAAATTAGTTTTGAAGGAATGTGGACTGAAAATACCAGTGCAAAAGGTGGTTTGGTCTTTTAAATGGAACAAATGAGGATCAAATAGCAAAGCAAATCATATAATATAAAAATGTACAAGTTGGAAGGAAACAAAGTTGTGATTAAAATAAGGGAGGGGACAAGTCTGAAGAACAAAAGACAATGCGTGAAGTGGTTTATGGACATGATGGAAGGAAGGATAGTTTGCAAGGGCAGAAAGATAGGGAGAGATATAGTTAATGCTGTTGGTATACATTAGTTTTAGCCACGTAATTTTCTTTTTCTTATTTCATCTTTTTAATTTCTTTGTCTTACTATTTTTATGCCATTTCAGTGCTCTGCATTATGTTGCTTACACTATAAAATGTTTAAATGAAACTCTTAGGATTCAGATCATTTATATGCTACTTACCCCTGCATTACATATGGGAATGGATGGCTTTGCATTTGATTATTTTGCGTTTGTGCAAGGTTGCGATGTCGTACACCTTCGGAATTACTGGCAGCTGTATATACAGTTTCTTGAGATGGGGAAGGAGATGTTGATCCCGAATGTTCTGAACTCTTAAAATAAAATGCAGATAATACTTTGAATCAGATGTGCAAAGCATTCAGTGCTTTATGCTAAAAGATCTGGTTCTTCAAAACATTATGAAAACTAAACTAATATTCTACAGTGGACTATTAGCTTCTTTCTATTAGAAATCCAATCTGCAGTTTCATACCTTGTGCCAGAATAACTTATTTATGCTCCTCACACCATTTAAAAAAATTTTTAACAGACTATTTTGCTGACTAAAATTAGTTCACATGATAGTCTTTTTCTTTTCCACCAACACCATCAAGAATCAAAAGGTAAACAGATTATAAATCAGAAAACATCATAATGAATCCAGAACTCATAGTATAATTGTGAATATCAGCCTATACAGAGCAATTTCTATCCAGACCATGATATTTGCAAGTACTCTGTAAGGTACTTGCTAGAATCGGTTAAAAACCTCCAAATATTGTACATATTTCTGGAGGGATGGGGAATAATACTTGCACATTTTTGTTTTGATTTTAAAAAAGCATAGTTTTAAAGATACAATCCAAAAATTATATAATTCTATTATACCTACCAGCTTAATCAATAAACTAATATTCTAAACTGGACAAAATAATTGATATACTGCCATCCTTTCATCATACTACTGTTACTTCTATGGGGGGTGCATATATTAAAACAGCATTTAGTTATTGACAGAACTTAAATGACTACATCTTACACAAAGATAACTTACCAAGCTGTTGCTAGATGCTGAAGATTCATGATTTTCCCTAATAGTGTCAGGTTTTGGAGAATTCGGGGGTGTCCGTGAAGAACATACTAAATGAACCATGTGATATTCATCTTGCTAAAATAAAAAGGAATATTTTTAGTGCTGTCTACTTTCTCTCAATCATTAAATCCAGGGTGACTAGCAGAACCAATCATGCGGCTAAGTGCTCATACAACTGGTATAGTGGGTATGTTTGTACCATGCACTAATCTATTTTCTACATTTGCATAGACTGTATGAAATGTGTTGGGTTCACACAATAAATTAATCTATGATTTAAAAAAAAAAACAACCTTGGAAAATTATGCAAATACAATTTCTAGGTCTTAACTTGACCTAGTTAATACAGCCAATGAGTACCAAGTGTAGGCTGTCCATAATGGCAGGTCCTGCTGCAGCATCTGCATGAACCACCCAAGTTCTAACAATCTTCTTTTTCAAAGGGTAGCCCAGCATGCAGCAATGGGTAGGCCAGTACATACAGCACTCTCTTGGCTGGCTTGCTCTCCTGGCTTCCTTATCAGAGAGAGGAAAGACAGAATGTGTCAGCAAAAGAGAGAGAGAGAAGAAGGGAAGGAAGGAGAAAAGAAGGAAAGACTGTGTGTGTGTGTATGTGTATCTGTAAATCATATTTCCCCATGTATTTTCCTGAGTGTTCAGGAAAAATTGATCTAGTGATCTGTTTGTGGCTATGACCCCACTCTCACTTTTATACTAAGGAACATCTCAGCTTACTTGTCTGTGCAATGGGGCTTGTGAGCTCTTTAGTCACTGGATCAGAAAAATGTGTGAGTAAATGACTGATGTTAATGTCTAGATCACCCCATTTCCTAAATTTATACTCAGTCTTCCAATTGCTTTATCCAGTTCCAAATAAATATTCAGTTTTTTGTTTTTTTTTAACTTTTGAGTACTATACATTGCCATTTGTCTACAATGGATTCCTACCATGGGGAGTACAGGAATGTAGATTCAATGGAAGATTTACTGTTTTACAGATACTCCTTTCCCACCATAATATATGTAGGCTTTGTGCTCTTTATTTTATTTTATTTGAGAACAGTGTTGCTTTATAATTATAACTTACTAGTCCTAGCAAAAAATAGCATGCAGATCTAAGCAAAATTCAAACACTTCTCTATCTGTCTACCTACCTACCTACCTACCTACCTACCTATGTATCTAAAATATATTTTAAAGAAGTTTCTGGATTTTGCTTAAGCCTTTTTTCTGAGCAATTTTTAAAAATAAAAAAAGTGTTTAGATCTTGCTTTTCACTGCATTATCAGAAAAATGCCCTAGTGTTGCTGTACCAGATTGCATATCTGCTTCTCAGTAAGATGAGAAATATTATTGCCTGTATGCATTGTTCCAGTATCTTTTAAGATCTCTGAAATAGAGAAGATGAGTAGAAAACTACTCCCCTTGGCTCCACCTATAGCAACCTATTAACTCCACCTACACTCTGGAGAGTAGGCAGAATAGGTTCTCCCTCTTTTCCATCAGTCCAGTAAGCCATCACTAATCATTGCTACTCCTCCATAATTTATATTGTTGTTGGCAACAGACAGCAATTTTAATCATCAATAAATAACTACAGGGAGAGGTTATTAGAAAGGACTGTACCTGTTGTTCAGGATTAGAACAGCTATTGATCTAATCAATGCAATACATTAGTTAGCAAGTATGACACTTTTAACACTTGTATTTATGATATATAAAATAACTAAACCTTATTAATCTACATGTACACTTAGAAATATCACAGTAATGGTTTTCTAAAACAGATAATCAATTCATATTGTAAACAAACTCAGCATGTTCTATTAAGTTTCTGTAGTTCATTATACAACATTGGAATTGCTCCATTTCACAATAGGAATTGCTCCATTTCATAATAGTGACAACCTCTATATAGTTTAACAGAACTTTATTTTCAATCTTTGCTATTTTGAAAAGTAAAAGGTCTATTTAAAATACAGTACAAGAGTAAAACTTACTTTTCTGAGAATATCTTTCAGTTGCAGGTGATCTGGAAGCAATCTGCCAGAATAGACCAGTCTCTGATCCTTTGTAGACTAAGAGATGTGACAAAGGAAGAATTAATCCTTTTCAGTAGCACTACCTTAGAGCTGTAAACAATATTTGTAGATTAATAAAGTTTGATTTAAACCTTTTCCTGCTTACATTTAACATTTGAGATATGTGTAAATGGTGTCTAAAGCTCCAATCTACATGTATAGTGATGATAATACACAAAAATGCCTTTATTACCTTTAACCACAGAATGGTTCCTCCAATCAGCTTTAATAAATAAAGTGTATGTATACTTCTCAAGAGGGATATATCTTGAACTAGTGTCATTTATAAATATTGGTGCTGCTAAATTTCAACATAAATAAGCTCATAAAATATCACAACTAGTTCTTTTTTCTCACATTGGCACTGCATTTTAACCAGTTTTTAACTAATGCTTTTATGGGTACAAGACAAAAAAAAAAAAATCTGATTTCCCCCCCATTTTGACCTCACTTCTGGGGGCAGAAGATTCCATAAGCCAGGCACCACGGCAGAGAAGACCTGCCTCCTGGGACTGCCAAATGTAATCCTCTGGCAGACGGGACCTGCAGCATGCCTTCTCTGCCAGACCTGATGGGATGGACAGATGTAACTGGGGAGAGGCGGTCCCTCATAGTAAGTAGAGATTCAAATTTATTGTTGAAATAAATGGGATTTGACTAGCCTTATATCTCAGAACTACTGAGTCACTCTAAATGACATACCCAAAAGGGAGGAAATGTATGTCCTATAAACTCCTCTAGAAGACTGAATGGCTGATCCAAAAGAACCCTGGTAACCTAAACATAAATAAAGAGCTAGCATCTTCGTAATCTGAACATAGGATACAGGGTGATCTAATATTAATCTGTAGTGTAAAGTTATTCAAGTCATTTTTATTATCTGGGTAGTTATATTATTATATATTGTTTAATTACACTATTATATTGAAAATAAAACCTTACAGTACTATAACAGAGCTACCAGATCTAGACTACAAAAATCCCTGGTCAGTTTTCTTTATCTCTTTGCTTCCATCTACTGCTCGACTATATTTTTGTAGCCTAGACTGATACTCCTATTTAATATAAACTTGCATGGAATCTCCACGTTGTACCAGAAATGATGGGCTGGATGCTATTTATAAAATCTAAATAAAAATCAGGAGGCATATCACTAAGGCATGTACATAGCTGGGTGAGCTTGGGCCAGTCCCTCTCTCTCAGCCCCTAGGAACAAGGTAATGGCAAAACCACTTCCAAAAATCTTGCCAAGAAAACTGCAGGGACTAGTCCAAGTAGTTGCTACGAGTCAATACTGCAATTCTGACTTGAAGGCACCAGAACACACACACACACACACACACACACACACAACACAAAACAACCTGCTAAGTAATTTTAATTTTTTTTTAATTTTTTAATTTAATTAATTTTAAGTAATTGATTTTCCTTTGGTATTCTATCTTTTAAACCAAGCCATTTTCAAATTTTCCTTGTCAATTATAATATTTCACAATATATTTCAGGAAATAATAATCAAATTTGGCACCACTAAATATGCATTAATTTAATTCAAACAGAACAATTTAGGGGAATAAAATAAGAAACTAGGCTTCATTCCCATAAATAATTTCAGAATACCACTTCCCCCTGTCAGCAGGCCTGCTTTCTTTGAAGCACTGTAGAACTGCAAGAAAGTGCAGGTGAGGTCTTAAAAATTACTTTTCATTTATTTAAAATGTTAGAAAACATATAATGTGGCAAAACAGCACATTAGATAATTTGCTCAAACACAGTCTGCAGAGAAAAGACTTATGGCAGAAATGCAAGCATCTATTGCCTAGTTGATGCCAAAGGAACAGTTATAGAAAAATCAGGAACCTCCTGAACCTCCCTGAGTTACACAGCATCTTGAATAAACTGAATCAAAGAAACAGGCAAAGAGAGAGGTGGTCAGGCAATTGTGTTAGTCCCAATCTGCCATGAAAAGGAAGAGATTCACCTTGAAAAGAAAGGGACTTAATAAGAAAGCAGATAGTTATCTATTCCAGTCAGTTAAAAAAAAAAAAAGAGTGGGGGAGGTAGGGCTGTGCAGTGGTTGGATTCAATTGCCAAAAGATGCTTCAGAGCAGGTAAAAGTGCAAACATGGCACCTAGCTACAGCACCTAAAAGAATACGCATTTTTTCCCTACGATCACGTGACTAGTAGCTATGCAATCCCAGGAAAGGGCAGGGCTGTTTTATAAGATCTCCTTTTGGAGATCCAATCAAAATACTGCACAACTCTAATGCAGGAAGCAAAAGCAACAGTTTGGTTTTTTTAGACCACATTTTCAAAGAAACTTACTTTAGTTGAGGGAGATGGATGGCTTCATGGCCAAACAAATGTCAGGACACAAATAACAACAACAATAATTAACCTGTGTTAATCAATTCTGTGATTAACCAGAATTGTGATAATCATCTTCTTGGAGAGGTATGATTTGAGCATGAAGCTCAGGAAGAGAACCTAATATGACACAACTGTCTTGTTCTTATTCTTGTTCCTCTTGTTGTTGTGACTGACAAAATAAGACTTTCAAACTGAAGAATACTGTAGCAAAAGTTTGCAACAGAGTAGCTAATTAGGATGGCAAGCTACAAGAGGAAATTTCAGTGGCTTACCCAGTACCATTTAGAGGATCAATTTCAATTTATATTCTCTTAGACATAACTATTTAAAAGTTTGGGGTTATTTTGCAGATTGTACAGTTACTGGCAAACATGGATTTGCTTCTGCAGATTCAACAGTTGCAATGAGTTTCCTGATTAGTTATTCCCTTATAATATGAAGGTTGTATTATATGTGTGATTTAGCATGTATGTTATTCTAGACATATATCTAAGCATTCTGCATGAAATGGCTTTCTTGACTGATGAATAAGATTCCAATAATGGAAACCGTATGCACTTTTTTATTAGGAGACAGTGGGATACTAAGTTAAAACTGAAGTATCTGTACTCCAGTAGATAAGAGAAAGAGTGTTAAAGTGAGCAACATCTGGACTGCTTACTTGGCCTCAAGGCCAGAGAAACTGAGCAACAAGTGAGTGAGCTGCACTGTTGGATACCAGATGAAGAAAGGCAATCTTACTGGAGCACACTTTGGAAAAGTGAAATTTTGGATTGGGGAGCAAGGGGAAAAAGGCCTAGTTGGTAAGCCAGTATGCCAAGGTCTCACATCATTGCTTGGGGAAGAGCTGGTAGAAAAATGGCTATGCAGTCCCATGGGATACCAGTAGGAATGCCACCTTTTATTACTGACTACAACTTTAAAACACTGAAATATAGCAAAGAAAGCCTGCCCAAATACAGAGAGGCGGCGTGAAGAGCTCCATTTTGGAACGCTAGATTCCTTTTAAACGCATAATTACAGCAAGCCAAGAAGCAGAAAATAAAGCGACCTGCTTGCACGCAGCAGTTTTTCTCAGCCGGCACCTCTTGAACCCCACCGGCTGTGCTGCTCCGTCCGGGGGACTCGGGAGGAGCTAAAGAAAAGGCGAGGGGCTCACCGGCTTACTGGGGTACACCTTGGAGAGGTGGCACTTCAGCCTTCCGACGGTCCAGTCCAGGAAGCAGCTGATGGTCTGGTCCGTGTACTTCTGGTTGGGCGCTTTGATGATGAGGGTGACGGGCGGCCCTGCCACGGGGGTCTCCATTGGGGCCGGCGGTTGTCCAGACGCCAAGGGCGGCAAGCGGGCTCAGGAGCGGCAAGAGGCAGAGGAGAAGCGCCTTCCAGGAACGGGAGTGGCCGCGCAGCCCCCGGCGCCCATT